GCATCAGAGTTAAATAAATAATAAACACAATCTGGGACGCAGCAGCACCCTCACATCCCAACAAAAAAAAAAAAAAAAAACAACCCTTAAGAGAGCACAGGTGTTAAGAAAGTGGCTCAGAATCAGAAAAGTAGATGAAAAATACCAGCTAAATCCCCATCCCCAGAGCCAGGCTCGCTCTGCTGAGGTGTTTTGGTGGGGGGGCCCCCGCTGAGGGAGCGAGGTGGCCGGGCAACGGGGCTCCTCGCCCAGGGAAGCCAGGAAAAGGATACTTGCTGGGATATCAACCACTGCAAGAGAAGACAGCAGGGTTAGTCTGCGGCCACCACAGCCCAGCCCCACTGACAGGGCCCCCCCGCTCCCTCCTTCCTCACAACCACCCCCTTCCCTTCCCCCGGGGCTCACCGCCTTCTCCAGGTGCCCTCGGGCCTGGTCGCCGTTGCGGGTGTGGTGGTAGAGGACGGAGCCGAGCTGGAGGTGGGTGCGGGCCTCCATGCGGGCCGGGGGCTTGCGGGGCAGCACGGCCTGCAGGCAGTGCACGCAGAGCCGCACCTTGGGCGGGCTGGACGTACGGAAGTGCTCGGCCAGGCCCAGCAGCGCCAGGTACCACGACTCCCCCCCGGCCGCGCCGCCGCCCGACCCCGACCCCGGTGCGGGCCCAGCGCCGCCGCCACCGCCACCTCCTCCACCCGCTCCCCCGCCGCCTCCACCGCCCGCTTCCCCGGCACCCGCCGCGCCGCCCGCTGTCGGCTGCGACTGCTGCTGAGGCGGCGGTTGCTGCTGAGGGGCCGCGCCGGCCGCTGAGCCCGACGCGCCCGCCGCCACCGCCGCCATCTCAGGGCCGCCGCGACAACACGGGCGGGAGGGGAGGGGCGGGGGCGAGGAGCGGCGCGCGGGGGCCGACGGGATATGGAGTCCGCCCCGCAGCGGGCCGCCGGGAGGCGGTTGCGGGCGCTGACGGGAAATGGCGGAGCGCGCAGGGCCTCACGGGAGTTGTAGTCCAACAGACCTCCTCCCTCCAAACCGCGCTTAGAGACGGAAGGAGGAGAGTGGCGGCGGCACTGTGCCCGGTAGCGAGCCGGTTCAGCCCGCTGAGCAGCCTCGCCGCGGCGGAAGGCGCGGGGAGGGAGAAGGAACACCCAGAAGGACTACAACTCCCAGAAGGCCTTTGCGGCAGAGTCGCCTCACGCAGCCCGGCCCCGCCCTCCGCGGTGCATCGTGGGACGGGAGCTCCAAAATGGACAACCCCAGGGATGCGCCAGGTAGGGCTGTTCCTGCCGAGCCCCTGGGCCCTGCCCCGCTGTCCCCGGGCCCTCGGCACCCTCTCCCCACTTCCCCTGCGGCTCGGTAACCGGCTACAGCGTGGGGGTGGCGGCGTAGCGGGCCCGGCGGCCTCCCCGCTGCTGTGAGGGCAGCGAGCCGGGTTGGGGGGTGTGTGTGCCTGGGGAGGCACCCGGCTTCGTCCCCCCTTCTCGTCCCGGGGAGGCCCCGGGGGCCGCAGCGTTAATTTTCCTCCTTCTCTTCCCCTAGGGAAGGCGAGCCGGTGGTTTGGGGTCACACAGTCTAAATCGGCCAAGACGAACGTGAATATTCTGCACCAGGAGGAGCTGATAGCGCAGAAGAAGAGAGAGATTGAGGCCAGGCTGGAGCAGCAAGCGAAGCAGAACTACCTGAGCATACAGCAGCTGCCTCTGTTTGGAGAGTACGTGTGGGTTACGGTGCTTTTAGGCAGGAGCTTCACTCACAGAAATGGGGCGTGAAACCAAAGAGAGGAGCTGTACAAAGCTCTTGGACTTAGAGGGAAATACAGAGAAAATTGAAGTTGATAATTGAGTAAAGGTTGGAATAGGGCACTCACAGCAGTTGGCCTAACCAGATTTTTCAGATACTAGTGAGAAAAGATACGTGCAGTTATGTTTTTAACTTTCGGAGAGTATGTGTGGGTTATGGTGCTTTTAGGCAGGAGCCTCACTGACAGAAATGAGGCATGAAACCAAAGAGAGGAGCTGTACAAAGCTCTTGGACTTGGAGGGAAATACTGAGAAAATTGAAGTTGATAATTGAATAAAGGTTGGAATAAGACACTCACAGCTTAGTTGGCCTAACCAGATTTTTCAGATACTAGTGAGAAAAGATACGTGCAGTCATGTTTTTAACAGGGTATTATTGTACTTTTCTTCTGTTTCCTATTAATTGCCTTTCTCATAGTCATGACTCTGAAGAGTTAACGTGGTTCTCCAGCTAAACGCTTGCCTGGGCTTCTCGGAAGCGGGGTAACGTAACAGAGCAAGTAGAAATCCTGTTTCAACAGAGCAGTAAAGGAGCCAGGTGGAGAGTGTGGGTAAATGCTGTGAGCAGGGAGCTGAACGGTTCTGCTTGGGAAAAGCTGGGTGTGTTTTCAAGATAAATAGTTATTAGCATTTGTCTCCTTTTCTCTTCACGATAAACACGTGCAAAGGGAGGTGGGGAGGAGGATGGGTACCATCACCAACGAGTTTTCTTTTTCTGTTCAGAGATGACAGTACTGACAGCGAAGCCTGTGTTTCCAACAAATGTAACAGAGCAAGCAGAAATCCTGTTTCAACAGAGCAGTAAAGGAGCCGGGTGGAGAGTGTGGGTAAATGCTGTGAGCAGGGAGCTGAACGGTTCTGCTTGGGAAAAGCTGGGTGTGTTTTCAAGATAAATAGTTATTAGCATTTGTCTCCTTTTCTCTTCACGATAAACACGTGCAAAGGGAGGTGGGGAGGAGGATGGGTACCATCACCAACGAGTTTTCTTTTTCTGTTCAGAGATGACAGTAACAATAAACGCGTGCGAGGGGAGCTGGGGAGGAGGATGGGTACCATCACCAACAAGTTTTCTTTTTCTGTTCAGAGATGACAGTACTGACAGCGAAGCCTGTGTTTCCAACAAGTTTGTTAACGATGGCAGTTTCCTCCAGCAGTTTCTCAAGCTGCAGAAGGAAAAGTCAAGTACTGGTAGGTCGACTTCTGAGCAACAGGAGGCTTTTCCTTCTCCTGGTGAGCCCAGCTTTGTGTGAGCTGCCTCCGTGTGTAGTCACTTTAGAAACCCTGCTATGAGCTGTTACCAGTATGAGTAAGTTCTAAAGCAATAATGGCCCTTTTAAATTCAGATTAAAGTCTTGAGATGCAATAGGGAGGTTGGCCCCTTTCTCTTTTTCAGTGCTGTAAAGACAAGCATCTCCCTTCTAGCTTGAATCTCGCTTTTAAAAACCATCACAGCTTTTACCTCTCACTGTCTTTAACTTACTCTGAAAATAACAGCCTATTGCAGCTGCGTTAACGGCCCGAGTTGTTATTTATTGTAACCTGCTGAGATGAAACCAGGAAGGATGCCCAGGAATTATTTTCCCCCCTCATTCTTTTCTAAGAAACTCCCCCGAGTTCTACTCCTAATAACTCGGCAAACGCTTCTGCGCCAAACGTTGGGAAGAAACCTTTGCTGTTTGGGAAGAGGCCAGGGCAGGTCCTGAGCAGCATGCTGCACCAAGCCAGGAACTACTCCCATTCCAAACAGAGCCCCGTCGTTAACCGCCTCAGTGTCTTTCAGTCGCCAGACGAAGATGAGGAGGAAGATTATGAGCAGTGGTTGGAAATCAAAGGTAAATGACGCCTCGTACTACACCGTTTTTTTGGGGGAGGGCAAAACTTACCCCAGTGATAGGAGTTGAGTGTGGGAGGAGGGTTTCCTCAGTGCTTTTCCTCAGTGGAGGGTTGGGTTTTTTTCCTTTCTGCTGTGAATGATGCTAATTAATGCTGGTGGACTCCCTGGGAGGGTTGGGGTTTTTTACCTTTCTGCTGTGAATTGGGAATTCTTAGCACAGTTCCTGCATGCAGACTTCTGCCTTGGGAAATACAAATGATGCTAATTAATGCTGGTGGACTCCCTCCAAACCCAAGGCCTGAATGCTGTTAGATAAATATCACTAATCCAGTGATCCAATATCACCCCAACTTGGTGTGAGAGGTGGGTCGCTCCCTGTACTGAAACCTGGTCTGGTTTGTCCCTAGAAGGTTTAATTTTCTCTGGGTTTTCAAGGCAAGTGCTTCACCAGTCTGTATATCTCTGTGAAAAATAATCTGTAGAGAAGAAATGTGTTCCACTCTTAATGGAGCTTGATTGCTTGGTAATAAGTATTCTCCTTTAGAACAATTGAAACCTGTTACAGTTAGTGCCAAGTTCTCTGGAACGTATCTATATGTAATGCTTGTATTTAAAAGGGATTTTTAGGGTTTTTTAAATGATAGAAAATGAAAAGTCCTCAGCTTGGTTATGTCTGTGTAGGGGGAAAAATTGTATGTGTTAATAAAACTACATGTAAGGCACGGAACTATGACCAGGTAAAATCAAAGTTCCTGCCTCTTTTTGAAGTCTCATTAGTGAATCTCACCTCTAGGCCCTGCCTGCTGTAAGTAGGATAGAAAACCAATAAAGAATGTTGCAGCACTTAAATAATCAAGTTTCTCTGGATAGCCCAGGCTGAGAAGCCAGAGGCAGATTTGCTTAATAATCTGAATTTCATGCGTGCGTATTAATCAAGTATAAAATTAGATTGGAGTTGCTAAATAAGTCACACTAAGCTTTGTGTCATAATTTATTTCATTATATGTTTACAAAACCATGTCTAGCCATTTCTGGTGGGATTTATAAAAGCGTAATCTCAGCCAGTCTGAAGCTGAGCATGAAATGTGCTCCAGGAATGCGAGAAATAGCCACTGGCAAAATATGGACCCTTAATTTAAAGGTTGTGGGTCTGAATCTAGTCGAGAGCAGTGTGAGAGCTCTGCTCCCATGTGCTCTGTGTTCAGCTCCATATATCCAAAAGATCATTTTCTGGACAAATGCCTGTGTTTAGTTCCCGTTGAGTGTGTCCTGCACCAGCTCTGATATCACTCTGTGTCAGAGGGTTCCTTTCTTGGTGCAGAAGCCAAAACAGTTTCTTGGAGACTGGGCTCTCTGCTTATCTCTGGTGGGATTCCTTCCCAGCAAGGGCTGAGAGATGGGCATTTGCCAGTGGGAAGAATTGTACAGTACAGTGACATGGTCTGTGCTCTCAGGATACAAATCTGTGTCTTAGGAACTGGAATCTGTAATATTTAGTGAGTGATGTAGTAAAAAACCGAACCAAATTCCTGTTCTTCCCCATCTTGTTCTTGAACAGAATTGTTAGAAGCAAATTATGCTGCAGGTGAAGTCGCACCCTGAATTCTAGTGATCCAAATCTTGGGCTTTTCCTTGTAGAAAACAAAAAAAAATGCAGACAAAACACTAACTTCCTACTTGGGGGGGCGCAGAGGCTGACGGCGAGGTGGGGGTTGTGATTTGTACAGCTGTGTAAGACTGGATCCCCCATTTCATCCTTTCTCTTCCCGTTCCCGTTCTACTTTTGTCTGCCGCCGTGGTTCTTAGAAGTAATGTCCCTGTTGCCTGTTTGGTGTGTGAGTTGAACCCCAGTACTGACAGCCTGCTTAAAGTTTTACCCCCAGAGGATGCGGAGACCCGGCAAGTGGTGGAAAAGCTGGCTAGGTTCGTGGCTGAAGGGGGACCCGAGTTAGAGAAGGTGGCTATGGAAGACTACAAGGATAACCCAGCTTTTTCGTAAGTGGGCTGCTAACTCTTGTCTCCCAAAACATCTCCTTCCAGGAGAAAAACATCACTTTTTTGTCTGTGTAGTTCTCCTGGATGTGTTCGGTTTAATTATCGGGTGGATTTGAGCTCTGTTGCGAGTAATTGGTTTAGAGCTGGGGAAACTGAGGCAGAAGGTGGTACTGGTGAGGAGGGAGGGGTCAGCTTGGGTTGGGAACGCAGCCTGGGAGCTCTGGCTGCCTGCACAGCATCTGGCCAGGGGGGTGCTGGGCTGGATCTTGGGACTGGGTTTGTCTCCGCTGCCCCGGACACACTCTGTGCCCCTGGGGCAGAGGGTTCCCTCCTACATCAGAGGAGACTGTTACTTATTTCCCTTCAAGTGACACACAAAATTTGGATGCAAGTCCGTAGCTGAAAGCTCTGTGTGTTTACACCTGCTGCAGACTTTGTAATCCTCATTTTAAGGGCATTTTGAGTAATTGATCTATTTGTTTATTTGTTTTGAGCTGTTTATATCCCCAAGTATCAATGTTTGTGTATAGTTGTTGCTGACAGGTATTTTTTGCCCTCTTTTCCTTCATCTCCACCCTAGGTTTTTGCATGATAAGAACAGCAGAGAATTCCTTTACTACAGAAAGAAAGTGGCAGAGATAAGAAAAGAGAATCAAAGTTCTCAGGCATCCTCTTCTCAGAAAGGTAATTAAAGCCGGGCTCTGGAGAATATGAATTACATGAGTTAAATTTGACTTCTTCACTCTGTAACTTCTGGCTAGGTCTGTTCTGGAAGCAGTTGGAGCAGATATTTGGCTGTCAATCTGCCACCTGTAAATAAAATTTCAAAATGGAAGGAGATGGTGATCACATATCACCATGATGGTGTCAAACTCTTGTGCCAAAGTGGTCGTTTCCCGAGCCCAGAGCCTGTTTTACCGTGCTCTGTCTAAAGGGCTCTGGAAAGAGGTTTCCCTTCTATTTCTCCAAAATCCTTAAAGCAAACTGAAATAATTCTCCGTGGTGTGTTGTGGAAAGTGTTTCAGCCCTGAAAATGCAGTTGGGGAAAGTGTGTTTTCTCAGATGTTCTGATTTGATTCATTATAAATGAAAATGGTTGGTTTGTTGAACATAATCCCCATTTCTGCTGCCGTTTCCTTTGTGTTTTCTGCTTGGGACCTAAATCCTTGCAATCCCCATTTCTGCTGCCGTTTCCTTGTCTGAAGCTTGTGTTTTCTGCTTGGGACCTAAATCCTTGCAAGTAAAGGACTGCATTTTCAGGTGGGAAACCAGCAGAAGTGGCTGCTCTGCCAACAGACAGGTGGTGTGAGCAGTGGAATCTGATTAATTGTGTTAAAAGACAGAAATTACTTAGTGGGAGATTATTTAGTGGTCTGTGGGCTGGGCATTTATCGCTTCTAGTCCAGGCCCACGTGTGTGGCCCTGGGGAATCACTCAGCCTCTCTGTGTCAGCTTCCTTTGCTGGAGAAAGGAGCCTTAACACAACTCAGCTGTCACACTGACGAGTTAACAGCTCAAATGACCTGTGGTTTAATAGAATGGAGGCTGAAAGACCTTGTTACCAATATCAACTAACTGATCCCAAGGTTTGGAAGCTAAGGGGTATTATCCCGTACTTTGCAGGTGTGGAATATTGAAGCAAGGAAAGGTTATGACTTTGTCCGTGGCTTATAATCCTGTCTTCTGCCTCCTGGTCCCGTGCCAGCACGAGGGAGTACTGGCACTGGTACTGTGCAGGTAGCAAATGTCATATAAGGCAGTCCTGGCTAAATAACCTATTTGCCTGGCTCCTTATAAACACCAAACACGCTTGAAATATTAATGATCAGAGCCTTCTCTGGGCATTTGGACTAAGGCTGCAGTAGCCGCCTCTTCCAGGTGAGGATGGGGACTGTTCCCTGGAGAATTTCCTCTGGCCTATAGCCCTCCCCTAAAAGGGCCAGGGATTATGGAACAGTGTTATTTTGTCACTTTTTCTAATGCCTTCCCGTTGCTCCTGGGCACATCAGTGGCAAAGTCTTTGAGCAGAGAGGATTGTGAGTGCTGAGGTGTAACCCTTCAGAGGCGTGCCTGGCACGGGGAAGAAACAGGCTTCCTCTGCAGCAGAGAGAAAGGAGTTGTTTCTTCCATCTTTGAAGACAAAAGCTGGTTTGTCTGTTAATCTGCTGCTCATCTCACTCCTGGCACAGAGGAAGCTGATGTGTGCACGGGCCTTCCTCTGGTTACAGAGCTGTTGTACGACCTCGTGCAATATCGTGGGGTTTTTTTGTGTGTGATATAAACTCTATGACTGTTGCTGTTGAATGTTTCTAAAAATTAAACTCGACCTTTTGCCCTTATTCTGCTCTTGGGGTTCTTAGAACAGATAGGCTTTGACTGTTGCTTGTGTGAGTTGGGCCCAGTACTGACAGCCTGCTTAAAGTTTCACCCCCAGACGACGAAGAGACAAAGAACTCTGCTGAGAAACTGGCCAGGTTCATAGCAGACGGGGGTCCCGAGGTGGAAGCTATTGCCTTGCAGAACAACAGAGAGAACCACGCTTTCAGGTAAAGGAAGAAACCTGCTGTGGGGTGCAGTGAGGGGTGGGGGGTGCTTGGATGGCTTTGGGTTTGGTTTTTTATTTTTTTAAAGGGGAAAATAATAGACTATTTTGTGATAAGTCAGAAGTTCCAAGGACAGTGCACTCAGCATTCTCAAGCTTTGCAGTTTAAAGCCAGGCTTTAAACAGAGAGAGGAGTCATTTTGCTTCCCCCAGGGTTATTTTACAGCTTTTACCCCCCCTCACCTGCTTCCTCTTCCAACGTGCCAGGATGTTTCTAGCCTTTACGATTTTCCCTGTAGTGATATTTTGGTGTGACCCCCATCCACCACTCACGCCGCTGCCACCCAATTAATTTCCTGGGTTGCTTTTTGGGTGGCATCTTTATTAATGCCCAGGTAGCCCTCCTTCACCTGCAACTTCCCCTTCAGAAATATCTTTTTTCAGCCTTTCTGATGCGAATTGAACTCTTCAGTGCTCACTGACAGCTCTGTAATGCCTCCCTTTGCTGTTCGATGGCATTAGGTGCCTCTCCCCTGTCTTATATTTTTCTGCTCTTACACACAATTTGGTGCATTGGCTGGAAATGAGGTGGGGCTCGGCAAGTCTTGGTTTGTTGCTGGTATTTTGGCATTTTATTGGCTGCCTCCTGGCCCTCTGGGGCACCCCCCTTGTGGTGTTACATCAGGCTGATGTGCCAATATCCCAACTGCTGCTTTATTTACTTTAAAACACTGTAGGTGGTCCCACCTGAGCACGGGCAAGTTAAATGCTGTCTCCTCTGTTAGGGTTTCATCAGGTTTGTTGTAGGGGGGTTTCCTGTCCTGCCCTCTGCTCGCTCCTGAAGCCATCCTTAGTGCTGTTATCCCAGTGGAGAGGGATGCAAGACCACTTTTAGTGAGTTTTAAATACATCCAAGAGCTGTTTGTGTTTGTTTGTGCATGTGGATGGGAAAGGCCTGTCATCTCTTATCCCCAGGAGAGGTTATAGCAAGTATTTAACTTTTCCTCTAAAAAGGGAAGATTGTGGCAGAGTTAGGAACAGGCGCGTTTTCGGTGTGAAGTATTTAAACTGGAGTGAGCCCAAAAAGATAATGTGTTTGTAACAAACATGCCTGTCTTGAGGTTTGTTTGTTGGGTTTTTTTTGGCGTAGCTGCTAAATTGAGGATCGTTCACCTTCTTCCCGCAGAGATGAAGGAGTTTTATTTTACCCAAAAGGTCAGAGATGCCTATTTCTGGAAGGGGCAGCAAACAGAGCAATGTTTTCTGTGTATGAGGGAACAGAAGGAGGAGTCAGGGTGTGATTAAGCAGACTGGTAATGTCAATGCTTCCAGCTTGGATAGAGGGCTGGGAGCAGTTTCTTTGGGCAGTGGTTTGGCATTCCTGTTGGTGAGACTGGAATGTTTGTTTTCTCCTGCGAGCCGAAACCCGAGGTGGTGTGGAGCCCTCAAAGCTTTCCCAAACATGTTCTGGGAGGCAGGTTGAATTCTGGGGGAGGACCTTGCCTTTCCACCAACGTGACGTGATCCTTTTTTTTTTTTAGTACCCTGTGTTTATTTGGCACCAAAAATAGCTGGGGTTCGCTCATGAATGGGAAATACTTTTCCTAATCCCGAAGGCTCGCAGCGAGAGATCCCTGCATTGCTTGAACACACACACGGGATGGTGCTGGAGAGCAAGGAAGTGCTTGGGATTGAGAGTTGAGCAAGAGCATTGCAGGAAAGAAAAGCCAGACCCTGCTGTATCCAACCCCTGCGTATGGCTGGAACATCTAAACTTTCTTCTTTTTTTTCTTAATTTCTTTCTAGGTTTTTATATGAGCCAAACAGCAAAGGCTACAAGTATTACCGGCAGAAGCTGGAGGAGTTCCGTAAGGCCAAAACCAGCACCCTGTGTGCCCCTTCACCAGTAGAGTCCAGTCTGAAAAGGAAGACGAGTCCCGAGGCATCGCCCTCCCCCTTGTGCTTACCCCCCCTGCCCGTGCCCTCACCTCTGCCCCTTCCCTTGCCCCTTCCCTCTCCTTTACCCTTGCCTTTGCCCGTTCCCTCTCCCTTGACTTCGCCCTTGCCTGTTCCTCCCCCCTTGCCCATTCCCTTGCCCGTGCCTTCCTCCTTGCCCTCACCTTCACCATCATCCTCTACGACTCCACCTGATCAGACGGCGACAGCTTCTGTTGCAACCACCACGGCAACCACAGCTACAGGCACCACTAAAAAGAAGCGGAAGAGCAGGTGGGGGCCGGAGGAGGACAAGGTGGAATTGCCCCTCCCGCAGCTTGTCCAGCAGCTGGATTCTCCCTCCCCTCTTTCAGGTGAGCGGGTCCGTGGCTTGTGTTCAAGAACTGCTTTTCCTGGGGAGTCTGTTCTGCCTTAAGCCCAGCTGGTTTTGTGAACGCAAAGCCCGGCGAGTCTATCGCTTGTTGTAATCGCCGCGGTTGCCAGCCCCTTCTCTTTCAACAAGGTCTAGCAGCTCTCTCTCCCCTGCGTGGAAACCCAGATAAACCACTTTATCTGGCTGACACCAGGGATTGGATCTTATCGTTCTCCAGCTCTATCTAAAACCCTGCTGTGCTATAGCTCATTACAGCCTCAGCCTCCGCGCTGTTTAGGGCTATTTCGCTTCGGGAAGAGAGTCTGTCAGAAAACAAATAGCAAAGGCTGAATGGTGCTTATTCCCCGTGGTGGGATAAAATCCCTGGGCAGTGCTTCCATCTCGCTCTAACCCATCAAAAGGCTAAATGGGAAAAGCTGTTCCCCAAGTGGACGTGGGGATAACTTCCAGTTCCAATTTATCCCCGTTTCAGTTCATTTGGTGACAGACGGGGTTCCCAGTTCTCATCCAGCACTGAGGCTCCTGCTGCTGGTACTTCAGCAGCCAAGTTCACCCAGGGGCTGGAGCTCTCTTCGAGGGCTGGAAAAGTAATTTTTCCAGTCGAGGTGCTTCTAGGGAGCTCTTGGAGGTCGAACTCTGGCCCATCCGTGCGTGTGCAGATCGATAATTAGGCAGGCAATTAGAGGTGTGTACAAAAACCGAGTCGCTCAAGGACAACAGGTGAATGCAGACATTTAAGGTGGCATCTCTGAGTCCTTTGCCCAATTAGTGCCATGTGGGGAAAGGGTGTGACAAGGAGAAAGAGAAGATGTAAGATGAGGCAGTTGGTGTTGGCAAACCGAGAGAATTAATAGTGTGAGGCTGGAGCCACAGGAAAAGTAATAAGTACCTGTCTCAATAAGGACCTTTTTTCAAAAAGCAATAGCAGAAGAGATGAAGTGGGACAAGTAATAGAAAACAAGCTATAATTTTCTGAGCTGCGAGGTGAGACCACAGATAATTTTCAACACATGGTCATCCCATCCAGTTCATTGCTCCAGCAAGTCTGTGGGTCTTCTGCCTCGGCTGGAGTTTGGAGGAGATAATTGCTCAGCTGTTAATAGCTTTGATTGTTAGGTCTGGGGTAAGGTGTGGGGCTGGAGGCGTGTGCTGTGGTCTCTGTTGATTCCACGGAGGTCGGGAAGGAAGGACTCCTGTCTCCTAATCCAGCCCTTTGAATGGTGATGGAGGGAAGTTTCTACATAATTCCATCTTCTGATCACAGCCCTGGACAGAAATCTTGGCTTTGTCTCACGTGTGCAAGACAAGACACCAGCCTGGATGGCTTGTTCGTTTGCCCTTGAGTTGCTGCTCACAGTAAGGCAGAAATCAGATGCAAAAGTCTTTCCTGATTTTGTACCTCTAGAGTATATATATAATTTTTTTTTTCCTCGCAGATGGTAATGAAGCTTCGATGATGAAGCTGGGCAGGCGCTATCAAAACAAGCATCAGATTTCCTCTTAATGCCTCCTGCTGCAGTGGGGGGGCTGGGGGGGTATCCGTGTGCTCATTCCAGCACGCTTCCCGCTGAAATCTCCCCTGGCTCCTTCAGCCTCCCCTTAATTAGACAGAGACATGCTCCTGGTGTTCACGCTCACTTTCTGCGGGGCTTTGTGTCAAGTAGAAGAAAAGGACAGCAAACAATTTGCCAGGCATAACAAATCAACCCTTAATGCGCTGTTAATGCTCTGCAGGGGGAAGGATTTATTTTTTTTTTTTTTCCCTTTATCACTTGTGATGGACTAATCCCTTCTTAGAATTAACATCTTCAACCTGACAGGTGAAGAGAATTCCAAATTCCACCCCTGGTCCTGTGGAAGGTCAGAGTTGCACGGTGTCCTTTGGTACCCAAGTGTCTGTGTCTTAGTGCTTTATCCTTAGCAATTGTTTGGGATTTAGTGAAGGACTCTTCCAAACCTTTTTCCTCTCTACTCTTAGTGATAAATTAATATCATGGAGAGGAGAAAGTATAGCCCTTTTTGGGGCAGAAACAAGGCTCCTCTTAAACGTATTGATATCAAAACACTTTGCTGCAGGGGCTGGGATATCTGAGAAGCTAAACAGAGCAGAGATGCTGTGATTAGTGAACTCCGTGGACTAATGGGAAATTACAGGCTGTCATTAGAATTTTCTGATACCTAATAACGGATCGGTTTGGGACTGATTAGTTTTAATTAAGATCTTCAGACTTAGGAAGCAAAAAAAAAACAACAAACAACCACAAAAAAACCAGGCACTTCTATATTGGGGTTTCTCCCTCTGTCCTTAAAGGACGTTCACTTCCCTTGTAACATGTGGGAAAGGGATAAACCTTAGGTAGTCTCCTGCCAATGCTGCAGACAGACTGCACCATTAACCCTCTAGGCAAAGCTGATGTCATTCAAGGCAAAAAAAAGATATAAAAATGTGTTTTTTCCAGGCCTGCTGAGGAACAACTCCTTATCTTCTGCTTAGTGCTTGCCCGGTGCTAGACCAGCGCAAGGAACTTGTAAATCTTATCTATTTTTATGCAAATGCATTGACTCATCTTATTTCTGAGTAGACTTTTCTATCTTCAGATGTGGACTTGGGGTGGAGCTTCCCTTTTTTTTTTCCCTCTCTGCTTTGCCTCTGTCGTGCTACTTTGGGCCAAACCTACAAAAATATCCCCCAGAGCTACGTTTCTGCAGTGACTTTCAGCACAGAGTCTGTGAGGGAGCAGAGCATCAGAGGAACCAGATGGGGGGGGGGGGGGGGGGG